GTCCTTCTCCTCAGGACAGCTTTCTCTCAAACAATGGCTAATAGTCAGGATAATACTCATAGGCTTTAAAGGGAACTTATTCCTGCTTTTTTTTTTTCCAACATAGACAAGATTAACTGCAAAATCATTCCATTCTATGAAAGTGGTTAAAGACTTTTTTTAAAAGGGAGGCGGGAAGCAGAGGGAATAAAAAGGGAAGATGGGAAAGGGGGAAAAAAGAGGCAGGGAAAGGAGTGTAAAAAGGGAAGAAAAGGAAAAGATGACTTTTTCTTACTATTTGCTCTCTTTTATATTAATGTGAAATAAAGTTAGGATTTTTTTTTTAATTTAGTTTATCGAACAAGACAGAACAGATCACTGAGCATGTGGCTGAGCTGTGTATCTCAAAAGGTGTTGCAAAGGCAACTCACATGAAGCACCTCAATCGAGACACCAATACACATTCTTTCTATTGTTCAATCAACAGTTTATATAGCCATTTCAAAGCTTTGTGAAAGCACAGGTTGCTATGAAGGAAAACCCTATATGCAGGGATTACCTGTCAAAGTTCTCATGCCAAATCCTAACCACAGATGCAATTTTACAGGATTGGACAGAGTAAAATGTGTCCCTTTTATTGGAAAATTAGCTAAAATAACTCTTCAGAAAAAATGTTTTACTATGGTAATAATGGTCAGTTCAACCTGGTTTTCTTGTCTGTCTCCTGTTGATCACGTACAACCACTTTGTATACATCTGAGCCTTACCTAAATAATCATGTTCACTTACAATTCAACCATTTTAGGTACAGGCGTTAAAAATTCTCCTGTGCAAACTCACTAGAGGTTTTTTACTATACTACTGTACCTATAAGACAGTTATGATGATCATACAACAACTGATAACTAGGATTAACTTAATTAGCAGTATAATTTTCCAACAATTCAACAGAATTTATTTCACAGAGGAGAATGTCCTACCTGGATTATTGTTAACATTATTTTTGGGTGGTCTAGGCGTTGGTTTGGGAAGGGTAGTTTCATTCAATGCTTTACTAGCAGCAGCATGTTGGGCTTTTTTAATACTGCTTCCTTCAGCTTCCCAGGTCTGTTCTCCAAGAGTCAGCTGCACTGTGAACATCTTCAAAGACAAAGAACAAGTAAACACTGGCAAGATTATCACCGTGGATTAGACCAATCTGTATAAAAACTTCCAGGGCTGAAGAGAAATCATGCTCTCTCTTTATTATATTCAACTCCCAGAGAACACATCTGATTCTTACAGAGATCAGTGAGTCCTTATCAGTAGGCAACATGTGGCCTTTCAAATGACAAAGTAAAATAGCATAATGTTAATGTCAACTATCAAAGAACAGAATAGTATTTAAACCAAGAAGTAACAACTGCAAACTGATCCTCTGCTCTTGGAAGACTATATATAGGTCAGTTGAGACCACATTTCTTCACACGTTTGAATGCATTTGGTCACTTTACCTGTAGAAAACAGGTAAAGAATTATACTTAAAACAATAAAAGCAATAATTCTGAATGGATACAAATGACTGCACATCTTCAAAGCAGTGGAGAATTTGGCTCAAATAGTTTTATCCAGTGGAAGAATTTCTCACACCACCCGACTGTGTATTGTTAGGACAGTCACACTCAAATATGTTCAAAAACATGAAGTAGGAAAGAAATGTAGTATTATTTTGTGAATGAAACTGCAGTTCTTTAATGTGGACTCTGTAGTGAAGACTGGAACTGTAAAAATTTAGAGTTCAGCAATGAACTACTGATAAAGAACATTTCAAAATCTGCAATGAAAGATTATTTCAAGCCATATCTATGCTGTGTAATCCATGAAGATGAAACTCTGCATATTTAAGATATTAGAGTCTATCTTCTGTATGATATGTACATGCTTTGTTTAAATTTGAGCATCTAAGAACAAGAGGAGAAAGAGTAAAAACTCAATGTCTTTTCCATATCAATCCTATACCTATCAAGCAGGATTTAACAGTCAGATACACACAGTAAACTAACATATACCTACTTCACAAAACAGACTAACTTTCTTGAGGCAACATAAAGAAATCTACATATTACTGTGAGCAGTATATAAAGTAAAATTTCCATTGATAGTCATCTGCTCTCTAATTTTTACAGTTATTTAAACTTGCTAGATCCAGGACCGGGTATCTACAGATGAGCAGGATGAGCAACCATTAAATTTACCTTTACATATATTTTCACTTAGCACGTACTTGCGAACAAGCATTTGAATACAAGTATGTCTGTGCCTCCCAACTCAGCCCTAATGCACACATGCACACAGTGCATATGAACTGAATGCTGTAAATACATACTTGTGTCATAATTACAGGCTTAACTTTTGGCCTACAGTAACTTCCAGAAGCACAGTGCAAGTCCCTGCATCACCGTTCCTATCGCCATGTCATTTTCTCCACAGCAGACAAGGGGTAAGAGGGAAAGTCTCTTAATACTACATCCTGTCAAACCCTACCACCACCCGAAAGCTCAGCTGGGTATTAGAGCTAAATAACCATAATTATATAAATTACCTATAAACATACATCCTTATTACTAAAAGAAGTGAAATTTAATTTCTGGATCTGGAGTTTATATGGTTCATGTTTTGCAAGAAAGTATCAGTGCAGTATTTTTATAGAAGGAGAATAATCATGAATTTCAATTAAAATATGTTGAATAATGGCTACTTATCTACCTATAACTTTTCTCTTTGTGCTCGGAGCTTGCTCAGTAAATTTCTATGGTGAGAGCTTTAACGTCTCACTTAGCCCATCTGACAAAAAACTCCTGCAAAGAACCCCACATACGGTAGCACGTGGGAATTTAATTAAAGGAATAAAACCGCCTAAAACCAAAATCTGGAGCAGCCAGTGAAGTACTCAGGTTCTACAAGATCCAAGCTGACAGTTCTGCTATGGATTGAGAAGCATTTCCCACAAATTTTCCAAGGAAGTTTGTATTCCTTATGTTCAGCTTTATTACCTGATGACCAGAGAGGGGAAATGCAAAGGCCACCATGCTTTGTGCTTGTTTTCACTCTGCTGTGTTCCTAAAGTCGGTCTCCCTTAGCTCTGGCAAGTCTTTCCTCCTCACTTTTTCTGCATGGAAAACCTTCTCTCTTCCTGCACGGCATTCTGAAGTGCTATGTCCCTTACTCCCTTCCCTCTTTTTTCTACCACCATCCGCTTTCTTTCACCACTGTTGCTTTTAAATTTGTCTCCTTGGATGCCACTGATACGGAAGCACAGAAGAAATTATCAATGTACTGACTAATGTACTCCAAAACATCGTTTATGCTAACAAAGGCTTTTTGACTTCTCTGATAATGAAGAATCCACCTGGAGGGCAGACTCCTAGACAGCTAACTGCTGTCTCTCCCAGCTCCACTTTTAGTTTCCCATTTCACCCCACAACTGACAAAACTTACTTTCCAGAGACAACTAGGAAAAAAGGATATAAAAATTAACTAGCATTTCTGGTCATGATGCAAACAGCTGTCTTGTAGAGCGTGTCTCTGAAAATCATCAAAACCACTAGTGGACAGGAACCAAATGTGTGTAGGAGGAAAGCAACGTGAGACACTCCTTCAGTGGCAAACAGCAGCAGCATTACATCCTTAAGGTCATGCTTTCTAGGACAAACTCCCTTCTGTTTCACATATTCTACCAGGCATATCATTACGTTATTAGCAAGACATTATACTAAACTGCTAACACAGTCACAAGAATTTCTATGTCTCTGCTTTTCATAGGTCAAAGGCACACAAGTCTGTATAAGCTTGTTCTTCATCCCCTTCCCTCCTTTGTTGTTCTCCATTGCTGCACAGGTCAAAATTAGACTTTATTCTTCTGCACAACAGTCTACAGAGAACATACCTTTCTTGCTTTTTTGACCGCTAAGAGCATAATTAAAAATAACAAGAGGTAACCTGAAAAATTAAGAAACACATTAAAAATCTGACTTTCAGAAGTGCAACTAATGCAGGCTCAAGTCACGTTAATGATATTAGCTTCTTTAAAAATATTAACAAATATATGTAAACTTTCTTACTCTGCTAAAACTTAAAGTATAGTATTAATGTAATGTAACTCAAATATCTCTACTGCTGAGGAATATGAATGTCCAAACCCTCACCTTCTAGTACAACACTTCTTATCTCACAATAATAAAAAAAAGGTAACAAAATAAATATACAACACAACAGTGAAAAGTCACAGAAAGCACAACAGATTTAACATGCTGTAACCTAAGCCCAACCAACCAGTCTGTCCTGTGGTGCCAAATGCTTCCAAGAAGGGGAAAAAGACTCCAATTTCCATTGTCAATGAGGGATCCTAAAAGCTTGCTGATTCTCAGCAGCCCTGCACCTCCCGACATCGTTTCCACGAGCATAAAGGATGTATGAACACCAGCCAAACCAGAAGGTCCGTGATATGCATCAACTCTGGACTAGCTGACAACACAACACCCAACTGAGAAACAAGGGGCAACAGCAGACAGCCCACGACTAGCTGAAACTGTTACTAATCTGCAGTGTGATCCCACTGTTGTACAGCCTTTTGCCACTCTAAAAATACTGAGTACAAAGCAGCAATTAATTCCCCCTTTTTCTCTCTCCCCGAGTTTCTCAGGCTTTTTTCTCCTCTCCCACACTGGTCCTAGTAGGGACAGAATTCCAAATTATATCTGAAAATTATTATCATGAGAATACCCCTCTGTGACATCATCTGAAAGCATCTTAATTTGTACTGACAAAATTAAGTTGGATATCCAAATTGATATGAGACCTGACCAAAATTAACTGTCAGTTCACTACAAATTTGAATGCTATAATCATATTAGGAGTCCCAATATCACCAATATCATCTTGAAGCTGCACAGAATTTAAAGGGAAGAACGGTAATAAAATTTGTGTGCTGTAATGGAAGATCCAAAGGCACAGTAAAAACAGCATCAACTTTATGGACACAGAATCGTATCGATAAGCCCTTTAGGACATGCCATCAAGTAGCTCTGTCACCATCTGCACTACCATGGAACAAACGCAGAGGTAGCCAACAGAGGCACTCCGACTGGGGAGAAGGATTCGTGCAGCTTGAACAGCAAATGCTCCATAATGATTAGGAAAGGGAGGTGATACCCTGGAAAGACCTTCACAAGGTCTTTATAGAGACCAACAAATGCAAAGTCAGAGGTGGAAATCAAAGCAAGGTACAAAACGATCTACACACCCTCAACAGAAATACAGACACACTTTCTGAAAGCAAAGTGAAAAGAAAGCAAAATAAAGAAGAGTAAGAAAGCCCTTACACTAGCAATGTGGCTGTGTTTGACAAGCGCACTCGTCCAGACCATGACATTATCTGTTCAGCATTTAAGGTACGGCTCATCACCTGGAACTGTGACCTTACCTTGGCATGAGCAGGCCCTCTTTCATTCAGAAGCTTATACTGGGGTTGAATTCTATTGAAACGGGCTAACTCATTTACCAGACACATTGGAGTTTTCTCTTTGGGGTTTGCCATGTTATCTTGGAGAGGAGCTGTAAATAAAGAGTCTGTAAAGTTTTTGTGGAGAAATGTATTCTTCACAACTTCGCAAAGCTTTGCAAAAGCAGCAGCATGCTTAGAAAAGAAAATACTTTGGCTAAAAAATAATTTCTGCACATAGGCTAAATACAATGTTTAAATACCATTTACATATTAATCATATCAGAATATGCATTTTACAATTACCACTTTGATTACATGCAATCTAAAAGAAATACAACTGTTTCTTTTCCAAAATGTCTCTATAAAAGATGGCAGTGTAGGAGGACAAACACGTATTTTCTACGTCACCAAAGTTTACTGTCGGGAGTATACTGGTTCCAGGAACTGACTACTCTTTCAGAATGGTTTCTCGACACTGAAGCAGAAGTGGATAGCGTAAGGGTTGCAAGATAAATACAGCAGATGAAACCCTGTGATCCCTACTTGCCTCTCCCCTGTGTTTCAGAATTTCCTCACAATAATGAAGTCACTCTCAGAGCACTCCCCAGAGAACACCTTTCACCCCTCTTTAAGGATTCTGTTCTGCTTTTCTCAGACTACTTACTTCACATATACTGCCTTACTATTTTTCACCCTTCTGCTATTTCTTTTCAAACCTATTTGTGTTTATCCCCAACACACCCTGTCATTTCTTGCTTTATTTTTTTAGGATAAAATTTCTCTATTTTATACCCAGTTCAGTGTAGGAACTACAGCATTATTAGGCTACAAAGGAAGCACCGAATACTGCCAAGCAGTCTGAAGACATTTTGTTCTAGGGAAGAGAAACACACTTGGACACCTTCCTGCACCACGAAAACTTCTCTATAAAAGATACACTCAGAATTTGACAAAACAGATATGTTCTTTTCTGGGCTTTTACATCACGGACTAACACTGCACTGTAAGTTTGAGCTCAGTTAAAGAAACGAAACTTAGTAACCAGTCTGTTTAGTAAAAATATTTTTCTATGGGATTTTTTTTTTTAATTTTAATTCTCTTTAAGTCCTAACCTTTTTTGTTTTTCTTTTAATTCTTTTAATTAATTAACAAGTTCATCAAAACACATTTATTTGAACACCTAAGAAGATATACCTGGGCCAACTTACCTGGTGAGTTGCTAGAAGGTGCAGGATCCACAAGGCCGGCAGCAGGACTGCTACAGCTGGCAGCTGATTCTGAAATGGATCCGTTCATTGAGGATGGCAGACCCAGTGTGTTTGTAGTTGTAACTGGTAGGGGTAGCACCATAGGGGACATGGTAGGTCCGGACAGGTTTGCTGTAGTCTGCATCTTCACTTGTGCCATTGCCTACCACTGCAAGAAACAAATTATTATGAGCAGGGCACTTTACATTTTGAATGTCAAATAACAGCAGCGATATTAACAACACTTCCTTTTTGGTCCTGGATCTGGGTCACAAAACTATCCACAAAATTCATGCCTCTGCGAACATTGCTTCCCAACTGATACACAGAGAAACGGAGCTCACGGCCAAAGAACATCACCGTAGCAGAACCCACACACCCTGACTCCCACTGTTGCTCATCTGTGGGGTGATCCTGGCTGAAATACAGCAGGAAGAATGACGATTCTAGAATAAATTTCTATGTCATTATTCTGCATATGAGCTTAGCACCTGCCAGTTTCTTCGGGAGAAGGAGTCTTTGCTACAAGCTGCCATAGCAATCTTCTGCAATAGTTCTTCCAGTAAAGTGCACACAAAATACCAAATAAGCCATATGAGAAAATCCTTATTTTTTCTGCCTGTTACCAAACTAGAAAAGAGGAAAAAATAAAAGAGAAAACAAACAAAAAAAGAAGCAAGTTCTGAAAAATCACTGCTTATCCAGTCAACAGGTGGAGCACTTCAATCCTTGTACAAATTACTAACACAGGTACCAGGATTTCCTAAACTAGCCCTTAATCCAGTGCCTAAAGCATTTACCTGGAATATGCCAGGTACTAATTATCTCTCTCCCTCTGCCCAAATGAGCTTCCTTATTACCAATACTTATTCCCTGGTTAAGCCTCCACTCACAACAAAGCAGGTTCAGGGCATGGCTCCTTCATAATATTCACCACTCCGTGGCAAAAGTTTGGCTACCGGCAAAAACTCTTGCAAAAACCATATGGGAGCACTTTAGAGGCCAGCAGGCACTCCAGGCAATCCACTCAAATAAACGAGGAGGCAGTCCTTCTCAGTCCCCAGGAAAAGTCTTGGGCTTCTCCTTTTGGCATCAGGAGAAACAGGGTGATGATTTTCATTCAGTGGCAGGGACATAGACTGTGTTTTTTAGGGCCCATACACATGATATGATCTGTACAGCACAGATAGAGAGATAAAACCCAAAACAACCAACCAACAGCCTGGGGACCTCTCCCAGCAGCAGCTCTGATCCCTCTGGCTAAGGCAGAGGACAGCAGCCCCGCTCTCCCCCGTCACGGGCAGCAGCACCCTTACCACAAACCTCTTGGCTGGTTCTGCTGGGGTAATCCTCTCATCCTAAGCAAAAATCCCATCCCACAACTGAAAAACTTTCTAACTAAGGTCTTATTGAAACAACTACAACTATATAAGAAATTCTGATTACATCAGTATTTTTGCCTCCCCACAAATCCATTAAAAAAATCCAAGTATCTCTACTCAGAGGGACAGTATTGTTGGATTAAGATCCCAAATCACTCGATAGAGTGCAACTACTTTGGGACAGTTGCAGTAGTATAATGAAAACAATAAATCCTATTACTATGACTCTGTGGTTTGGAGAAGAGATTTGGACTGGAATCCACTTTAGCTACTGAGGAAAGACAGACGACCGATTTAAGTCTCTGCAAAGACCAACGTAAAAAAATTAAAAATGAAGTTGAGATGTGATCACTTGCCCTCTTCATAAATATCATAAGTAACATGCTAATAGTGACAGATTTTTTAAAATGTATACGCACTCAGCAGAGATATATTCAATATTTGATGTGTTCAAAAATATGGGCTAAATTCAGGCTGTAAAATCCTACCATCACTTAACGGCAAAGGTCACACAATACAGCAGTATTTTACAAGGGCCTAACCTAAGGACTGAGAACGTGGATAACTAAAATTCTTTGGTATACTACATGTTTAATTCTGATTTTAAATATATTAGTATAGATCAGGATGAATTCCCAAAGTTTCTTAAATGTAAACATCAAAGTCAATTATGACAGAATCAGGACATATTAATTAAACATCATCACAACAATTAAAGTTTAAGAAAATCCCTAGAGTATTACAGTGTTTTAGCTTACAAACATGAGTATGAGAAAGCCGTCACTCATACAGGACTCTATGAGACACTACTGAACACCAATCCTTAGGCTCTGCCAGTTGTTAACTATCCTTTCAGCTTCCAGTATTTTGAAAGTTTATTCCTCTTTTCACGAAAGCAGAACTTACTAATAACAAAATGCAATAATGTGTTCTCTGATCACTCACGGAGATGCTCAGAGGGCTGGAGCACCTCTGCTATGGGGACAGGCTGAGAGAGTTGGGCTTGTTCAGCCTGGAGAAGAGAAGGCTCCGGGGAGACCTTATAGCACCTTCCAGTACCTGAAGGGGCTACAAGGAAGCTGGGGGGGACTTTTTACAAGGGCCTGTAGTGACAGGACAAGGGGTAACGGGTTTAAATTGAAAGTGGGGAGGGTTAGATTAGATATCAGGAAGAAGTTCTTCACGGAGAGGGTGGTGAGGCACTGGAACAGGTTGCCCAGAGAAGCTGTGGATGCCCCATCCCTGGAAGTGTTCAAGGCCAGGCTGGATGAGGCTTTGAGCAACCTGGTCTAGTGGAAGGTGTCCCTGCCCATGGCAGGGGGGTTGGAACTGGATGGTCTTTAAGGTCCCTTCCAACCCTAACTGTTCTATGATTCTACTGTATTGTTGTTCTAAAAAGATAAAGAGTAGGATCCTTTTCTACCAAGGATTAAAAAAGTCAGTTTGATAGTAATATCAAGGAACTGTAAAAATGAACAGGATAATGTTCAGGAGAAAAAAGACACTCAAATGTCCTACAGTAAAGTAGGTAGGAAATTAAATTGTGAAATAAGAACCTATGATAACATGTTAGATCCTGGGGTTCTCTTACATTTCTAAACCCGCAAAACTCCTACAAGAAACTACAACGAATTTGTAAATTAATCTGTATAAACAAAGATGCCCAGGAAGGAAATATTATTGTAGGGACTAACACGACATACAGAGATAATAAACTTATAATCAGTTCTAAAAAAACACTAGCAGAGACAGACAAGAGAGAGAATAGAGCTGATACAGTGCTGTCATGTCATTTTCACACTGCCAAGCAAATAATCTTTGATGTCAAGACTGAAAGTCAACAAAAGCTTTATGTTCCATCTTTTCTTTACATTTTTTACATATATACCAATGTTCTACTGTTTTATAGACAGCAAAGAAAAACCATTATTGAGCCTTCCAGCCACGAGCTCAGACCCTACACACAAAAATGTAGGACTGGGGCAAGAGAGATTTCACTAAGCTGGTCAGAGCTGAAATGCAGTTATATAATCAAAACGATTTTAAATCTTCCACTTGAATATTTCTGAAAAAATCTGGCATACAGAAAAGGGATAGTTCATTTAGGATGTAAAGGGATAGTTTATTTAGGATGTTAGGATTAAAAAAGCCCCCAGACCTCATTTCAGGTGGCTAACCCAACTCAGGCCTAGGAAGCGGCTGCAGCCAAGTGTCCCAGAGGAGATTCTCTCGGCACGAGGCAGTGGCTACAGACGCGGGATCTCTCGCCGTGAGAAAGCTGGACTGCGCGGCTCTGCCTGCCAGCTTTGTGTCTTTATTGAGCCAGCAGCTGCCACGCCGAGACATCACGGCAGTGATATTTCTCGCAGCCTTAATCGCACACATGTCTACCCAGAAGTACCACTGCAAGTTGCAGAGCTGCTATTTTTGTGAGGTTGTATTCCAGAGCTTCTGAAACCCTGCCATGTTTTCTCTTTCTTCAACCTACAGCTGTATTAGAAATGCTAGAAATTTCAATGCAGGCATTGAAAGGGATGTAAATACACTACAATTGCATTTTACTTCATTTCTGCTTTTCAGAGCACTTTGTACATAGGCAATTACACAGGTTTCATTAAACAGTTGTATTAACTTCCGCATTAAACTACATCTAAGTTGTGAATTTTCCCCTCACACTAAAAATAACCCAAACAAACTCACATTAAAACAACAAAACAAACCCACCTCACATTTTCAAATGAAAATATTGGTGTCAAATATTCCATTCATTTTTCACCTAAGTTAGAAAACACAATAGTAATTTAGTTCTGTTCACAGATGCAGAATATTTTTAACAACTGTGAATGCACTTGTGTCATGCTAAAAAACACCACACAAAGATTTACTTATATTTTTTCTGACAATGATCATTTCTTCTTGTACTTTTCTGGAACATGAATCACTTTATATCTTTAGATCTTGTGACATATGAATGAAATGTTCAGGTGAAATGATTCTTAGAATGTGTCACATTAACTGAATAAAGACAGATAAATTAGGTAAGACAGCACAGAAGGCAGAAAACACGAAAAATGAGTTTCAGGTTAAACACACTTCACAATGTGAAAAAATTGAAAAAACAATATTTAGATTGAAACACAACTTGTACGAAAAACCAGCAGCCAGAGAAACTAATGACCTGGACAGCCAAAACGGAAGACTGGACTTGATCTACGCATATATGCAGTAGGGTGGTACCACACTTCCACGCTGCTCTGTCACACAGCCCAACGTACCAAACCTAATCTGTGCAGAAGGATGCAACACATGGAACGTACCATGTATTTGTGAAGTGCTTTACAAAGGTAACGACCGAGGGCCAGCCACTGCCTAGCAAGAAAAATTACTTGTCATATCTTGTATCTCATACACCCAATACTTCTGCTTATACATTCTAATTGGTGCCTGTTCTTCACATCAGTATCATCTTAATGATGCCAAGTCCTTTTCTGCAGAACTGCTACCCAGCAAGTTCTAGCCTGTGCTCTGTTGGTGAATCTGACTGTTCTGCAGCTAATGAGACTTTGCTCTTGTCTTCCTTGAACTCCCTCATTAAAAAAAAAAAAAGCAAGCAAAAATAAAAAGACATTTCAATTTTTCAAGATGACACTGAATTCTAATTCTAGTTCCAAAATGTTTGCAGTTCCCTCTAAGCCTGCTTTATAGCATCTACAAATTTAATAAGTGTACTGTTTCATCCACATCATTAATGAAAATATTGAAAGGTACAGGAACAGCATTACACTAGACC